AGAAGATGCTCAGCCCCGTACACGCATACACAGATGAATGGGGGAGGAGAGACGAAGAGGTGGGGGGGGAAGGTAGACAGCACCGAAAGTCACCGAAATAGAATCTGATAGGTCACCGATATGGTAGTCCAAAATGTCATCCAACAAGATCAAAATGTCGAGGACCATAGGTCACCAATGTCGGGGATACAGAGTCCAAATGTAACCGGTGTCTGAACTGTGATGTCGCCAAGTATCAACCCCAATGATCTCCAAGTCTCCAATCCGGTAAGTACCACAAGTCTCATACCACCGAACTCCAACACTGATCTCGGTCCAACTAGTATAAGTCTCCAATCTGAAGAAGAAGAAGAAGAAGAAGGAGCCGAGGAGGAGAGAGAGAGAGAGGGGACTGGCGAGGGGAGGGAGGAGAGAAGCCTCCAACTCCCAATACCTCAGGCGGCTATGGCCGCCGGTAACCCAGTCGCCGCTACTGCTGCTCGCTTGCTACTGCTGCGCTAACGCTGCTCCTCGCTGCTCCTGCGCTAAAGATTGCACCAGCGCTGATTAGCGCTGTACCATACCGTACCGGTAGAATGCCGGTAGGTCGATCCTGGACTGAGGCTGGACCGGTTCTATATACCGGTGGGCAGAGGCCGGCCTCAATGCTGCGAGGCCTGGCCGTGCCCTGAACCGTCCAGATGGACGGTTCAGCCCCAACCGGCGGGCGGCAGCCTCAAGGTCGGGCCTTTAGGCCCTGATGTGTCCCTCTAGCCCTAAGTCGGGTCCGGTAGGACCCGTGTGGCGTCGAAGATGTAACACACTCCCCCTCTTAAAAGACCGAGCTACTTGCGAGGGCGGAGTTGTCTGTCCGATACGGGGATGGGTCGAGTGGGACGAGCTGCGTCCTTAGCAAGGCGTCGCTTCTCATAGTCGGCGAAGATAAGGGGTGCAGAAGTCTGCAAGTTTGTACTGGAGATCCACCGAGTGTCATCAGGCGCACATTGCTTGAATGTGACTTTGTACTGCCTTGGCTTGTTGCCATACTTGCGGTGCGTGATGACTCGGTCCACTTCCTGATGTCCGTCCATGGAGGGCGGATCCTGTGATCGACGTCCGGGAAACTCGTCATTTGAAGGTGGTGTGTAGATGGCCAGTTTCGATGCGTGGAAGACCCGATGCATTGTCAGGTGCGGTGGAATGTTGATTACGAAGGAAGGACCTGCGGGATCGTCTCCAACGGCAGAAGTGACTTCCCATGGTCCGAACCATTTCGGAAGGAGTTTGCGCGAAACGTCCTGCTCGAGCGCAAATTCCTCGGAGAGGACCCAAACAAGGTCTCCCTCGCGGAAAGGACATGGAAGTCGACGTCGGTTAGCTTGCTGCTGCATGCGGATCTGAGCCTTTTGCATAATTGCGCGGGCTTTGATCAGCAAGTCCCGGTACTTCCGCATGGAAGCGGGAGAGCAAGGGACGTCTATGTCGGCAGCCTGTGGCAAAAGGAGATCAGCGAAGATCCGTGCTTTCTCTCCACCATGATGTARCTCGAATGGTGTGACGCAGATCGCCGGGTGCACCGAAGTGTTATAGGCGAACTCGATGTCGGGAAGCCGGTCAACCCAATCTTTCTGGTCGGGACGGATGAGCGTACGCAACATCATCTGAGCGGTCTGGTGTGCTCGTTCCGTCTGACCATCCGTCTGCGGGTGCCAAGCCGAGCTCGGTTTCATTGTCGTACTGGACTCAGCCATGAGGGAAGTCCAAAAGGCTGACATGAAACGAGTATCTCGGTCGCTCACTATGTCTTCCGGAACATCTTGGTTGGTAATCCAACCGGTGTGCAAGAGTCGTGTGAGCTCAGGCGCTGCAGCATGATAGTTGCAAGGAAGGAAGTGAGCATACTTGCTCAAACGGTCCGCGACCGTGAGAATACCGTCATGGCCGTGGCGATCGCGGGGAAACGGGCCTGTCACGTCCATAGCAATGGAGAGGCGTGGTGCCCAAGGAATCGGCAACGGTTTCAGTTCGCCGAAGGGGACTGGAGATCGACCCTTGTTTCGGTGGCAAACTGCACATGACTCAATGTACCTCGTGACGTCATGAAGGACGTCGGGCCAGTGAAATCGCTGGCGGAGCCGTGCTAGTGTGCGGTTCACGCAAAGGTGTGCCGAAAGTCGTGCGTCGTGGAATTCGCCGAGAAAACGAGTCCGTAAGATGCGATCTTGGGGCACAACTAACAAGTCCTTTCCTCTCGTGTGAAGGAGAAGGAACCCGTCGGAAAT